CCCCAAAACCCCAAAACCCCAAAACCCCAAAACCCCAAAACCCCGTGAATAAATGATGAGGCTGAAATATAATAAAATATCTTCCTTAGATTTCGATTAGATCTTTGGTATTGACAGGTTTCTGGGAGATAATTTTTCCGATCTGATAACCGAGGCTATTAAGTTCCTTAATCTTATCCAATGGAAGCACTTTAACTAGCTCGTCAAGAGAGTATTTGAATTGCCCCTGATTAAAGAATAGAAGGTTAAAGTATGGGATCTCCTTGCCAACTTTAGGTACCAAACTATCCTTCAAGTAGCAGAAATAGTATAAAGTGAGCTGATCCTGAGTGTACTTAGGCTTTCCACTATTGCCGTCTTCCTCATCATCAAAATCAATACTCAAGGAATTCTCTAGCTTCATAATAGGAATATCTAATATGTTAGTTCTATCAATTAGTTTCTTAATTTTTTCTTCTTCCTTAGACATCTTTTTCAAAAATTCAAAAATATGAGGACTATTCAAAAGATTAGAAATAGTTCTCTCTTGAAGTGGGAACATTGAGATCACCTCTGAAATATCACAGCTCTCGATTAACTTCATCGCTAGGTCAATATTCCCTTGCTCAATGCAGTACTCGAAGAAATTTGGAGATTCCTGGCCAGGACAGTCAATGATCCATCTTAAAGGTGAGTCTACATCAATAAGTTCGTAGGACAAGTCATTATACTTTTGGAAGGTAGAAAAGAACTCTGTGAGCAGAAGTATTTGACTGAATTTATGCTTAGCTTCTTTATATTGCTCTGTAACAGTTACTAGTCTCTTAATTTCTGAAACATCACCTTCGTTCACTTCTTTGTTATCCAATGAGTCAAATCCAACGTTGATGTTCACAAAGCCCCCCAGATGGATAAAACCTTTCACCATGTGAATAATCTTTTCAGGGGCATCATTAAAATTGATCTGGTTGTAACTATCAAAAAGGGTGATCTGTTCTAAACAAAACACTAAGGTGTCCTTGACTGCTTGCCTACTATTAATAACCCCTACATCCTCATTACTGTCCAGGAGGTCTTTTTCAGGACCTAGCTCTGCATCTGAGTTTTGGACCAACCTTGAAATGTAACTGAGATGTTCTTGGCTTATAACTTCTCATACAATCCTCGAAGATTCTTCTTGACAATCTCCTGCAGTTTAAGGACTAATTCGTAATTTCTGATGAAAATAAGTTTCTTAAAGTTACTTCTCAAAGCCTCTTGGACTTCTCCTTCATAATAAATAGGAATCTCGATGTTGTACAGTGAGATTATATCAAGAATTTTAGTGATAAGACATTCATATCCTTCATTAGGATTTGTATTGCCAGTAACCAATAAAGATGTGATCAAGAATTTGGTCCTGTTCTTCTCATCAAGAGTAGAGTATTTCTTGGTGTAAACCTCGAGCTTAGTGTACAGATATTTAGATTTTAATGGAATTTCTCCAGGAACATTTTTGCTATCATAAAGTGCAAGACAGAACTCTTTGAGATCTATATCTGGAAATAGCTCTCTCAAAGATATCTCTTGGGTGGCTAAATAAATGATCAAAAATCTTACTTGTATTGGTTACGTCTATTAACTCGAACTCTTCCTCGGGAAGTGTAGTAAGAACATAGTCAAGGATTAGCACGAATATCTTTCTGTTAGATTCATTTCTAAGTCAGTGGAGTAACTCTGCATAGCCAATGCCCTTATCCTCAACATATTGAAACAAGTATTCGAAGGAATGGTAATCCTGTAAATCAAATGCTTCTTTAAGAAGAGTCTTAGAAGAGCTGATAACCACTTTATTTTTAGCTCTCTTAGAGACTTCCTTTTTGGCAGCTTCCACCTTAGCATTATAATCAGCAAGAAGTCTCTTCTTAATGCCAGGAGGCATTTTCTTCATAATCTTTGGTTTGGGGATGTCAATTTCAGCCTCTTCGTTATGGCAGTATTCGAAATCTTGCAAGAACTCCTTAGCTGTCTTACCCTCCTTATCGGTGGTGATGGTGTAGATCTTATCACATAGGTTCTGAATAAAGCCGATCATTGGGTTTGGAGCAAATTCATTGTTCTTATTTAGAGCAAAGATATGCTTCTTCCTTGCTATTTTCTAAATTTGCATTAAGACATGACAAAGCTTCGAGGAGAGGAGAAAAAATATGGAATTAGTGGAGTGAGAGATTATATAATTACTATGGAAATCTACTAGATAAAGAAATTTAACTTTGGCTTGGTATATAGGAGTAAGTTGTAAAAAGAGAACCGCTATTAGTTAGAGAAGGAGATAAATAAACCTACGAGGGTTTATTAGGATTCTAAATAGTTTTTTCAATGAAAGAGGCTACTTTAAAGGAGAGATCTTGTTTCATAAATCAAGTCACAAAATTTTCCAATATTGTTTGAACCAAAGAATAAAAAAAATCTTAAAATCCCTCTTCATCACCTTCTTCTGCTCAGACCCCTACCATAATAGTCCGTTCTAACATCTTAAAATAATTTCAAAAGATCCTATCTCTTCACCCAACTTTATTTTTTCAGTTTTCACAAAAATTGTTTCAGATAAAATCCTTGAAACTGCAACCTTCTTGGAGAATTCTAAGCATAACTTACCGAAATGAGGTCTTGGAATGTAGAGAAAAGAGTAATGCAGTTCTTTTTGTCAGCTAAGAGGATGAATGAATCTACGGTTGTGAGGGCATCTAGGATGGGAGTGATGAAGATTTCCTGTTCAGTATCAAATGCATATTCTATTGTGCTCCTCTTTGTCTGGATATCGAAAGAGATTAAATGCTTCTTCATAGCTTCTTGATCTAGTAGCTTAGTGAAGAACTTGTCTAAGCCAGACTTCATACAAATAACTAAAGGATTCTGAAGGTTTTCTTGTTTATTTTCTGTAAGAATCTTGTCTAATTCTGTCATCCCGCTCAGAATTTCGAATATTGACTGATGACTAGGATCATCTTGTTCATCAGATTTAATCTTTCAAAGATAGAATGTGATCGGAAGAAATCCATTCTTGTCAACCTGATTAAACAGGGGTTCCAAAGTAGTGAAATGAGCTGAGTAGATCATGTCATCAGTCAACTTCTGTATATAGCTTACAAAGATGTAATGTACATCTTCACTACTTAAGTTTTTGTTGTAAATGATGCAACTCAAAAAGTTCCTCTTACTAGGATCAAATTGGTTGATATCTATCTTGATCGATTTATGAGTTATGATATACTCAAATATTAGTTTAATAAACTCCATCTTTGCATTGACCATGATTGCAATCAAAGGACAAGAGCCAATCATCTTTCAAAGAAGGTTCATCTCTTGGTTCATGTTCTCAATCATTGTTAACTTCTCAAAAGTTTTTAGATCATTGTGATGCAATTTTAAGAAGTATTCCAAAAATCTATGATCAGAAGAAATACAAAGATTAGCAATAAATGTCAGTCCTGCTGAGTCTGGTTTAAAAGTTCCGGGCATAATAGAATTAGCTGATCCCTAGATGGTTGAAATGAGTAAAATACCTTCTCTATAGCTGAAATTGCATTGTCAAGGGTATCTTTGAATGTATCAAAGTCTCCTTCTTTTATGGCTTTAGATACAGTACTTTCATTGTCAAAGAAGTCCTATTTAAAAGTTGTGTAAGTCGTTCAATTGTATATAAGAGAGTTACTCAATGCTAAAGTATGCCGCAGGAAATAATTGTAAAAGTAGATAGACTAAGAAACTCATTTACTCAACAGCCAATCTTTGCAAGATACCCAACCTTAACTGTACCTCATAAAAATATCAGAAAGAATTCATATCTAACCCTTGGTACAAGCCGAAACATCATGTCACTCCTATCTACCATTGCGCAACTACTTTATCCCAAAAATATTTGAAATCAACTAAAATCCATTTTCTAAAGATCTCCAACAGAAGTTGCGTAATGGTCACTGAAACTCAACCAATTTTAGATATAAATTCATCTCTAGCCTCAAAAAAGTACCGGAAATCCTTGATTAGAGCTATCAGGGTGTACTTACGCTCACGGTCTTGCCGTTTTGATCTGGGGCATCAGTGATGAACTTGTACTCATCTTTGAACTCACAGAAGATCTTGTAAGCATCTTCTACATTTCCAAGGTATCATATATAAGCTAGGAATCCTCGAAGGCTTTTATCCCTTGTGTTCACCTCAAATTTTTCACTAAGCCCTATATGTTAGCTAGGCGGAGCCTACCTTTATCAGAGACTGCCTTGAGAATTAAAGGGATCAGGCTGAATTTCCGTTCCTTTGCAAGGTTTACCAGCAAGCCTGGATTTGTCTTGCCGTCTCCATTGAACTAAATCTGATCAACAGGGATTGGACTTACAGTTGCTGCAAAGAGATCAATGTCTCTTCCCTCTATTTTGAGTGTATTTCCTTTAGAGTTGATGTCTTCAAGTACGGCTAACGTCATTTCAGTGAAGACTGAGTGGTGCTCAGGATCTTGTAGGATTTCAACGATGTGTGCGTAGTAGTTTTTGAGGAAGAAGTCGAGAGCGTAGAAACCCTCACGGTCCTCGGTTAGCTTACCGAGGATCAGATCACAACGGGATTTTATAGGTAGAGATTTGTCATAGATTGAGTCCAACCTGATTTCTTCAGGAGTCCTGGTATCTTCTTGTTGGTCTTCAGATTTTTCCATATTTTTTTATCTTTAATAATATTTTCAGAATTTCACAGGCTTTTAAGCAAAAAAAAGGGGTTTTGGGGTTTTGGGGTTTTGGGGTTTTGGGG